GTTGGGGGGGGGGGTTTACCCCCCCCCCCACACCCCCCCCAATACCCCCCTCGCTACGGCCCTGGCTCTAAGAACAAAGCAAAAAGACTTAGTAAAATTTTTTCCTGTCCTCCCGGCCCCCATCCTCCGGGGGCCTCCCCTTCTTCCTTCCCATCCACACGCTGTCATATTCTAAGCCTACCGCGCATGCGCCAACCATGGTAACCACTAAAGATTAATTTCATTGGTAGTATCTTCTTCAAACATTTGCCCGGCCGCCATTTTCTTTTGTATTCTTCTCCTTTCGTTCGCCTTCTTTTCTATTTATTATTCCTTCATTCGTCCTCGAACTGATCCTGATACACGACATTGGCTTTTACAGTCCGACATCGCTACCATTAGACCACTTGCTCTTTGTTGGAAGCCTACCGCAACTTATTCACCTTAACCTTTTTTCTCTAGCTTGTGTAATTAATATACGACACATTTCAAGTCACAAAATGGCTTCTGTAGGACTTGAACCACAGCTTTTACATGACACAAGCCTGTAGTCTTTACCACTAGACCACTTACTCGTTGCCGAAAGCCTACTGCAACTTATTCACCTTAACCTTTTTTCTCTAGTTTATGTAATTAATAATCGACACATTCCAAGTCACAAAATTACTTCTGTAGGACTTAAACCAGAATGGCACATGACAGAAGCCTGTTGTCTTTACCACGTTACATTTCAAGTCACAAAATGACTTTTGTAGGTCTTGAACCACAAAGGTATATTACACCACCTGTAGTCTTTACCATTAGACCACATGCTCGTTGTTGGAAGCCTACACCGTAACTTATTGACCTTAACGTTTTTATTCTAGCTAACTTGTATAATTAATATTCGAGACATTTCGAATAACAAAACGACTTCTGTTGGACTTGAAACACAATGGTACATTACACAACCCATAGTCATTACAAGTACACCACTTGCGCCGTAGTTGCGCGTTGTTTAATTAAAGCCTATCGCAACTTATTCACCTTAACCTTTTTTCTCTAGCTTGTGTAATTAATATTCGACACTTTTCAAGTCACAAAATGACTTTTGTAGCACTTGAACCACAATGGTACATTATACAACATGTAATCTTTACCACCGCGCCAGACCACTTGTTCGTTGTTCAAAGCCTACCGTATCTTATTCACTATAACCTTTTTCTTCTGACAACCTGCATAATTATAATATTCGATGCATTTTAAATCAGAAAATTGCTTCTGTAGAACTTGGACCACAGCTGGTACATTACACAACCTGTAGACGTTACCACTAGACCACAACCTCGTTGTTAAAAATAAACCCAGCAACAAACTTATTAATATAAAATAAGGGCTTACCCATTACCTTTGCCTTTTTTAAAAACTTTTCGAAGAGTAAAAAAAAATGCCAAAAAGTTAGGGGATTACCTAGATTATCTTGGCTGTTTTTTGGAGAATATACAATTTCTGTTTTGTTTAACCTTTCACTGGATCATTTAAAATAGTTAACCAATGTCACATAGCCTGTCAAAAATATTGAA